TTTTTTATGACTTAAAGGCAGTAACTCTTAAAGTTTTTGAAATTTAATAATTTTATCCGTGTTTTAAACACTGTAGGTATGATTCATGGCCAGTTTCTATGCCTTATTAGATATCTTATATGATATTGGTATTTTTCCATTTAAATATATGTTCTTTAATTTTCCATAAATATAGCATGTTAATTACAATTGGTTGTTTTACCAAAATTAATTTTAAGATTTAAAGTCGGTTTCCCTTTCTCCTAATTTGAATTATTCTGCTGAAGCTATTCTTCTGAATATTCTAAGAAGATAGTATTGTGACTGAATATACTAATATTCTTTTGAAAAAATTCTCCAGAAAGCAAATAATTCTGCAAATTAATGTTATAATGCCACTTCAAAATTTTATTTCATAGCATTTGGATTGAAATGTGAGAATAATTTACTCAAAAGTTCAAATTATTGCATTTAATTTTTTTTTAAATGGTATATCATTTAAATTAAAAGGATGCAGCTAACTTCATAGTATCCTCTAAAAATGTTTAAAATGAAATTGCTATCTAATATTTATTATGTTTCTGTAAGCTTCTGAAGTCATCTGCTCTATTAGTGACAAAATGTGCGTGTCGAAAAAAAGAAAACTCGACAATGGGGGTAAGTGTTTTAAATTCTTGTTTTTGTTTACCTTGGTAGATTTATACAGCTGAAACCTGTGTATACTGATAAATCTGCCTATAATGCTATTTTCTTTGCATTCTTCATTTTCTTTATTTTCTTTGCTTCGCTCCCAGCTGAATTCCTATTTACTCGACATACAAGGGTCATCCAGAAAATAAAGACCGTTTAGTTATACAAAATGGAAAACACAATATTTATTGGAAAAAACAATCCTGTTACATACCGGAAGCTTCCTTCACTTCTCTACATAATTGCCTCCTACATTTAAGCATTTGTCGTATCTGTCCACAGGCTGCAAAATTCTCATGTCATACTCTTCTGCCACCAGTTCATTAAGACAGGCGGTCAGTGCATTCTCCAACTCTTCGTCACTTCCAAAATGTTTACCACCCAGAAACTCTTTCAGCTTAAGGAAAAGATGGAAATCGCTAGGAGCAAGGTCTGGACTATAGGGTGTATGATTAAATATTTCCCATCTGAATTGATCCAGCAATTCTTGAGTTTCAGCAGCAGTGTGAGGGTGGGCATTGTCGTGAAGAAGCACAATTCCTTGCCTCCTGGTTTGGATGACCCACCTCAGTTTTCTTAGAGTCTCACAATAACAATTTGCATTGATCGTATATGTATTGCTCCCAGTGATTTCCATCTTTTCCTTAAGCTGAAAGAGTTTTTGAGCAGTAGACGTTTTGGAAGTGATGAAGAGTTGGAGAATGCAGTGACCACCTGGCTTAATGAACTGGCAGCAGAAGAGTGTGACATGGGAATTCTGTAGCTCGTGGACAGATACAGCAAACGTTTAAATTTAGGAGGTGATTATGTAGAGAAGTGAAAGGAAGCTTCTGGTATGTAGCAGAATTGTTTTTTGCCAATAAATTTTGCGTTTTTCATTTTGTATAACTAACCGGTCTTTATTTTCTGGATGAGCCTCGTATTTTCAACCTGCCTTTTAGATTCACCTGTACCTTCTATAGTTATAATTTTACTTCTTTAGAAAGCTGGTTCAGTACAATCCCATCCCCCCCCCCCTTTGAAAAACGACACCCTAAATGTGCAGTCAATCATGACTTTAATTTTCAAATTGTATCTGAAGGGTGCAGTCTTGTGATCATTCTTGCAAAATGGCAAAATACAAGTTTTGGTTTAAAAGAATGTGAAAAAAAAAAAAAAAATACCTGGATGGAGGTCGATTTCTTTTGATAAAGATTTCATAAATTAATAGTAATGTCTTCAGAAAACTTATAGTTAGATATTTAAAATTTACTTTTATCTTAGCATGCATTGCCATTTGAATAAGTCATAAAACTTGCTTCATCTAAGAACTGGCAAGTAGTTTTATGAACGTTTGCCTCACTTTTGAAATATTGTGCCCACAAAAAAATTTGACCTTGTGTGAAGCATTTGACCTAGGCTTTCAATATAAAAATCAAAAGTATTTAGAAGCTCTAGATTTTTTTTTACAGACAATTTTCCTAAGATGTCTGATTCATAAATGTATCACTCTTTATTTTTTATATTGTAAAAATATCGTGTAAAATGACTTTTAAAGAGTATTTTTTATGTTAAAAATTCCCAACTCTATTTTAGCAGTTTTGAAGGCTAGACTATTTAATTCTGCACTTCTTATACTTCAATTAAAAGTTTTTTTAATTTCTGAGGTAGGGAAAATTAATTAGACTTGACCCTACTTTTTCTTATATTTCTCAAATAGTTGAATTTTTATCATCATAAAAAGACTTATATTTAAGATGAGTAAATGTACTTATGCTAAACTGATATCTCATTTAATCATAAAATAAATATATTTCAATTCTTGTTAAAATTCTTACTAGAATAATTATTTGCATTATTTGAAACTATCACATTAAAAAGAAATTTTATTCATTAAATAATTACTAACAAACAATTTGTAAATAATTATTCTCTATATTTGAGTTGCCATATTGCCGACATACTCCATGCAGCAGAAAACTTATCCCAACCACAAATTGCGCTTTGGTCGGCTACAACATTGAAGCTGCAATAGCTTTTGATAGGGTCAAGAATCCCTAACTTGACTTTTTCTAAGTAATCTAAAAATTAAACCACTTAAGAATTAAGATTCTGCAGTTTCAAAAATGTCAGTGACAAAAAAGTTGACAGTTGACAAAAATGCTGACAGTTTT